CGGCATAAATGTAAGGGTTACAACTATACAATCCCTGATGAAGGGCTAAGACCCGAAACTCCCCATTTAGAATGACTGTTGATATTTAAGATATTGAAATTATTTTAAATGTTAGTCTTTCTTCTTTTCTTTTCAAAATAGACACACAAAACCCCAAACCAGCATTAATGTTTATATCTATATTATAGACACGGTATGTTATGATTTCCGGTGCTTATGATATATGTTTCAACAGGTGGAAATCAGCGTAGATGTCCACACGTGTATATAGTGTATTACCCCCGGGCTATAAATCACGTATATATCTTCCTCTCCCGGGCATATCGTCTAATACTTATCCCTGTGTTACCACAGACAGCTGTTTACCTTGTGTGTACAGACGTAAACAAAGTCAGCGGCAATAACGTGCGTTTATCTAGACATGAAAAAAAATATCCGAAACACATTATCATCGACATCCAAGATATCCAGGGGTTACGCTCACTTTCGCTCTCTGTACACAGAGCGTAACCCGTGGGTATCGTGGATGTATTGACATATAACGGGAAACAAATGATTCAATTTCCCTTGTCAATTTTCAACGATGAAATTTAAACAGACACACTCGAATGGCCTATGGCATATTGTTTTCAATTTGTCGAAATCGAATAAGTTATCCTCATGGGTAATTTCAAATAATTAGATTTCGGAATTGTCAACGAAACTTGAATTCTCTAAAGGAACATAAAACGGGAAAAAAACGAGCACTTCAGTTGAAACAAAATTGCGATTAATTTTACTTATAAGATTTCACGAAACTCGATTCGATTGCATTTCCCTTCGAAGTTATTCAGATAAAACTGGAATTAGATTTCACAAGGGAGCACGAAACAGACATTATTTCCTTGATCTGGAAAAAAATCCATTTCCTAGGAAATCGAAAGGGGGATGGAAATACAATTCCGATGCAGGTGTGGAATGTAGGGTAAGCGTCGATGAGCAGACTGATACTATATCTCATCGAATTTAGCGCGGGAATTCAGTAATTGCTCCAATAGCGATAAGTGATGAAATCGTCTGATCTGTTGATACCGACTCAAGCTGCACGCGCGGAGATGAAATAAACAAGTCAAGGATCGTTCTCATTTAAAAGTTAGTAAACAGTTTCCAGAAAACACACGTCCGAATGTTGCAAGTTTGAGTGTAAATACAACCTTTTTTTTAACTGTATAACCGACTGTCCGTTCGAGTTTATTTTTTTACTATTTACAGTTCCTGCTTTTTACTGTTAAGTCAGTATAATATTTTAATTGTAAAGGTATCTTGGTTTTATTTTATTGCGTTCGAGCTCTATCGGTGTTAAACATCTTTTATGTTATGTATTGCATAAAAATAGTACTCAAATCTCGATAAAAATATTATCCAAAATAAAATATACATTTAGCTTATCTGACATGCACATTGATTATATATGCCCATATCTTTATTGCCGTCTGTCATCGTAGAACAGCAGATGGTTCCTTTGAATCCAAAAATACACAACTCCGGAGCGTTCTCGTGATGTTGGTTTTTGTGAACCCGAGGGAAAGTTTATCTCTGCAAGCCCTTCTGCCTCTGGGCGCATACAACGGCTGCAGGGGACTAACACTCTGGCACGATAATGAAGAAGCTATCTCGGCTGTAAAGCTCCAGAGACATATTTATACATCATTTCAGATAACACGTAGGATTTTGATCAGTGGCTGATGAAAAGACAACGCTCTTTACATGGACTCCCCTGGTAAATGGCGGCTCGTGAAGAAGAATCAATTATCAACGTTTATATTCATGCTTTGTCTCCCTGTCTCACACCAGCGATCCTTCCCCACTAATACATCGTAGTGGCGTACAATATATTAGTCGTTTGGTAATGTGGGTTTAGGGGATTGACTAGTTTGGGTTTTTGATGAACTGATGAGGGAAAGGTTCCCGGGGAATTATTAGCCGGAGTCTGACACGTAATAATGTTATCCTTTCTTGATTTCATCCGTTACATTTCCTAAAGATTTTTGTATTAAATAATCAATACTCGGTCGATACATCAGAGGAATATGGAGAAGATAAAAACGTGTTTGTATTTTCTGAGCATGGTCGCGTGTATTCGATAGTGTGTAACGGTCATATAGGCATGCGAGTGAGCGCGCGCGTGTGTGTACCTTACATGTACGAGTACAACTGTACAGTACAATACTTATTCCTTCGGCACGGTACTTGTCAGTACCGGTACGTGCTACGAACGGTATCTACTAGATCTTGATGAGTACCAGGGCAGATTCACCGGCACGCAAGTAGGCATGCCGTATACAGTTATGTGTATCACAATCACAACCTTTAGACAGCCATGCACTTGAATTAGCCAGGGGTCACACAATAAGATGGTAGTCGGAAAAAACACGATAGGATTCACAGCCGGGAGATTGTACAAAATCTCTCGTTTTTTTACAGAACAATGACTGTGCTGTAGGGTAAATACATGGACGTATGTTGGTGTTGTTTTTTTTTATCAGAACTTGTCATGGACTTTTAAATCAAATAAAATGACGCCTTTATTTCTGTTATGACCTTTTAACTGTTGCTGGGTCTAGAATGATTTTGTACTTTTATGATGAGAGCAATTCAGTCACGTTTCAAATACACAAAAATATGAACTTGTACTGATTTTTGTTTATCAAAACGATATGCTTTGCGATATTTTTTGTCAGATTTTCAGTGCAGACTGTCATATATCGATACAAAAAGAACTCCTTCAATTTAAAACAGAGTATTTCTTTATGAAATTGTGTTCATTAATGGAGGATGGTAAAGTTCGTTTTTAATGTAACCTTAAATTACTAATATGACTCAACTCGACAATGTAAATGCGTATTTCGTCAATAGACACAACAATATAGGTATATATATATATACGTGTGTATAAACTGAGGTGAGGACTTGATGTCGTTAACCAGAGGTGAATGTTTACACCGTACCAGTTCGGCAGAAGTCAATACACAGAAATACGAATTTACATATAATCTTTTCATTCGTATGTAAATTCTTGTGTTACTCGATCAGTCCATGACCGTAGTGATAAAATGCTGGCGTGTTGTACTTTTTAAACTTTTAAACCGCATGAATTATGAAATTGATTATTCTCGACGCAATGTGACGATTACGGCTAGAAATGTACATTATATGCAAAACCTGAAATGAAATCACAACTCGCCACCTGGGATATCCCAATCGGAGATCTTATTGACAACCGTAGAAATCTATTTTTGCTACAACTGAATGCTGAGTGCGTATTGTTGGAATGAAACGTACCTGATAAATCGATCGCGCTATTCATATACAGAAATCAAAGACTTGGCCAATCTGTTTCATTCTTAGTTACCCTGTAAATTCAATATTCATGAATACACATGAAAATCGCGGTCGTTATAAAGTCGTTGAATTGAGTGGCGTGGCTATCAAGTAGAAATATAATCTATACCCATTGATAATTCTAACATGGAAGTCTTTGCTGTGAGAATTAGGTGACTTTTTATGTAAAATAATCTTCTCATTAGTTAACTGCATTAACACTGTAAAATAGGGCACATGTTTTACTTCTTTCGTAATGCTGAAATATCAAAAAGTGTTTACAATGATCTTTCGAGGCCTTGTGGGTGTAAATCCTATAAAGTAATGGTTTCAGAAAGGGGTCGGTTTTACACCTGTTGTGATCTCCCCGACCCGAGAGTAACTATAAGGGAAACCTTTGGTTTTTTTCCGAAATCTATCCCCGACCCTAGGTATATTATAAATCCTAAAAACATCTAGATTCCTGCATCTTTCTCCAACACGGAGTAAGTTTTATACATATCCATATAGGTGGGTTCTTTTTTTTCTACCACTCACTTCCCTGACCCCAAGGTATAGCAGAAGGAGGGGAAGATGTATTTCTGATAAGTAAGGGGAACGGATACAATATCGCCGTTTCCTTTCGGCTTTGTAGTACATTTAATTACTTTAGTGTGCTCACTTTTAGTGGTTACCTCGTCGACCCTCAAAGAGGTCATTTTTTCTTTATTGACCATCGATAAAGGGTCAGGAACAGGCCATACTGAGTCAGTGCTAATAGAAAGGGGACTACAACTCCCCCTTACACACTGGAGTAAATTATTCTTAGCGTGGTTTGGGAGTGCCAAGTTTACCCCCCATCTCCCTTACCCGGGGGAAGGGGTTTTAAAACAGCGTCCAGACGAAATCTTAATTTGATCTCGGCGACCAATATCCGGGCTGATGGGGGGAGGTAAAACCCACCCAGCCCTGTGGTGAGGTTACATTATAGGGGTATTATTTTGTTTCTCTTCCAAGCCCGTGTGGTGAAGGTTATACGCTATGGGAAAGAGCACGGGCATTAAGTGGGGGTCAGGATTTATATGTTAGATGCCCGACCCTGGAGTAAGGTTTACGAGCATGGGATGGTCTCTACATAATTAGCCCGTCTTGCACTCGAGAATACACAGAGCGATTAAATTCTCCTGTGTTGACTGAAGTACAGAAACCTGGCATGCATCTTTGTAACTCAATACCTGAATGAGTTTTATTTAGAAGGATTGTTAATTAAAAACAGAATGTGTCGTTCCTGTGTCAAAAATACCATGTGTTTTGTAGAGATGTTCAATACTACTTCGTGATTTTCACAAATTAACTGAAATATGTAGATTTTTTTATCACAGAAACTACATACTGTTTATATTCTGACCACTGGAAATGAATACATATCGTTCTTGAATATATGTGTGTATTCAAACAACAATGAATACTTTTCTATGTAAATATATTTTAACTGATTTCGATGAATACTTTTCTATGTAAATTTATTTTAACTGATTTCGATGAATACAACTGATTTCGATGAATTCTTTTCTATGTAAATATATCTAAACTGATTTCGATGAATACTTTTCTATGTAAATATGTTCTAACTGATTTCGAGGTACTTTTTGACAACTTACCAGTTCCAGCATGGCGAGTAATTCCTTCGGTGTTTCGACACAACACTGCTCCCCTTCCGGTTCATGTTTCCGTGTAAACTCGTTCAACATGCGATCCTCCTCCACGGAGGGTCCAAGTCGGACATTATCACAGGGAATACACAACTCCTCCCGCTCCAGAATTTTGGATATGGTTTCCCCAACCTTCGGCTGATGAGTGTGATGCGCTACATCATGGCTAAGCTTAACGAATAGCACTGCCATTATAATAATCAAAATCAAAGTTCCAGCGGCCACGACGATAAATAATCCATATAGATATTTCTTAAGACGAGCACATTCATCTTGAAGAATCCTTATATCTGGGTAACATTTTTCACCAGAAGATCTCGCCAAATTTAAATTATTTGGCTTTTTCCCATTCAACAGATTTTCGTTTGACTCTAAATCGCGGTCGGAGTCAGACATGGTTTCGTTATCGTGCATTAAGATTGAAGAAATTAAGCAGTGGTGTTTGTTTCTCTCTGGAGGAAATCAACAACCGGCGTGAAATCACACACGTTCTTTTCCCGTATGGCCGTTAGGTTGATGAGGCGAGTAAAAGACGACCCGTCTATCTAGAGCATGTGTGTTGTATTGTAACGCTAGCCAGCATACACAATGTACACACTGCCAGCGTGAAAACTATATACCCCTCACTGAAATTAGAAATTGATAATCCTATAAGCACATATTCCAACTGTCTGACTGTCTTAAGTCGAGGATTAGAAAAGAATATGAATTACATTCCAGTTACCGTTAGTGTTGTGTACATAGCATTACCTCTACTGTCGACTGTAGCGTGTGTGTATTCGTGTGTTGTGCTATATGGAACTAACATGCAGCGTCATGTGATTTTCCGTTATCCAATCAGTGAGCGTGTAACACATGCGTTTGACATTACTACGATCTTCATCGGCTACTGTCATAATTGATAAAGCATTACTGATGATTTGTTTCTCGGCTGATCTTCTTCTCCGGGACAAGATATGCTGTACACCTGGTGTGTATTAGACATTAACTACCTGTGTATGTGCAATAATTGTTTTAACAAAAACCAATATTTTCCAAGTTGAAAGTTGAATCATAACGTCCCCTCAATCATCACGATCCCAATTAAATTAAAAAGATATTTCAAAAGATTATTTTTCCTGTTTTTATTTGTAATTTAAATGTTTTGATAGTTGCTATGAGTACGTACGTAATAACTTTACTTATATATTTTTAATCGCGGGTATTTGTTCGGACTTGTTAAAGTTGAAAACCTACAATCATTGAAATGTTTTTTTGTGTTATAATTCAAAGGGAACTTTAAATTTAAAAACATTCCTTTTGGTAATTTCTCACTAACGAGTAACCTAACCACCGCCAACCATACCACGTGTTGTCAGCTTGAGAGAAAAAATACTCTGATTTCACTAGGATAAAAACACGATCTAAATATTCAAAACTTACAAGAATTTTATGAAGGACAGCATTGATATGCATATATCAACAACAAATATGGTTGATTCTTAAATTTGAAAAAAAAATATATAGTACCGTTCCAACATTTGAGTTACATGTATTTATGGGAAAGCTGACAGAACACTTTAAAACAGTCTATTGGGTGTTCGATACACATCCAGTGTGATACTCCTACCTGTATACAGGCGTGTGTCAGGTATATATACGATATTGTATAGAGATTTAAAAGTCTGCTATAGTAAGTACATGTACCGTCGATGTATTACTCAAAGCTATTTTTATCCGGTATGGTTAGCTTTCTTTTTAGACTAAAGTTTTACAACTCTGCAAATATGTTTTAAAATATATCGTTAAAATTACACGTAATGGCAGAGAAAGACATGTACATATATAAGTAAACTAGTTAACTATTAAAATTTGAATAATGGTAGTTCTTTGTTTCATTTAAGTCGATACATTTTGGGATGCTATTGGAGTAAGCTAACAAATAAATTCTCTGTGTGATAGATAGATATATACAATGTACATTATTACCGAAATCTCGGTAATACGACTTCTGTGAGGCTTACTGTGAAGGAGAAAGGACCCCCTCATCCCGTGTGTAAGATTTATTACAGATGACTGGTTACTATTGGGAGATATCGATAACAAAGGTAGTTATGCAGTAAAAGAAATGTAATATAGGTAAATTTGAATGAGAATAAATAACCCATTCTAGAGAAACCGGTTCAGCTGAAACGATTACCGGTAACTCCGTCCTTGTAGGAAGTGTAGCACAGCTGTAGACGAAGCATACACCAAATTGGTTGTATACGTCATATAACTATGACATAAGATATTTTTTGAAAGTGTCCTTTTAAATGTAGCATTTATTGACATTCAAAATCTACAAATGTTTTCAGTATAAAATTAACTTCAACTTTTGCGCGATATTAGCCTCCTCATTAAATCTTTTGAAAAGTGGAAGTCAGGCTTGTAACGTAACGTGCTAATGTTCAACTGTACATACATGTATACATTTACATGTATTTATATGTTGTGTACATGTTTGTTTGTTTGTATTGAAGTGATACGCTGTTCCACTCATTAAATATTACTTTAGTGTAATATGCAATCAGCTGAATTTAATTATGACGACAATTTCCACCCCTACCTTTTCTCCTTAAACCTCGTTGTTTCTACATGTATATTGTAGTTCCCTCCCCTCTACCCCTATTCCTCTCACTAATCTGCTCACCCTTAACCCCTCCCCACATATATATGCACCGCCATCACATGATCACAAAGAACCATTCAATATGAGCTCTGTATCTGGCCAAACGTGTCCTATAGATGGCCATTCCGTTAAAACCTTTCGTTTTAGCTTTGTTAACATTTAGTTGTACAAATACTTGACAACGTTTTGAAATTTCCATGGGGGAGATTATACATTCTCTAAATTAAAAACATAAATAACTGTGTCTATATACCCCCTAGGGGCGAATATATCACTTTCAATGGCATCTTTTGAGTTGTTTATTCAGATTAAATTATCAGATCTTAGACAATAGAAATAGTTTAGCAAATTCACAGGTTGAAAATTCTCAATTTAAGGGCCCAAAATCGGGAGTCTGCCTTACAAAATAGGGAGAGTTGTCAAGTATGTGTACATATAAGTACGTATACTTCTATCTCGCATACACGTGCACCATACTGATGGTTTTGAACTGAAACAAGAAATATATGAAAAGTTAGTTTTCCCCTGGCCTGTTTTACTCACCTATTTATTGACCTTTCTCACTGTCCCTCCGTCCTCCAGACATAAGATCAGACTAAAAATATTGCACCCGCTGGAGCACGTATCGATCTACCGACTTCTATTGCAGACGTGTGCGTTACCTGGTAGGAAGTATGCGTCAGGTACGTACATGCATACAGCAGGTATAAAATACAGGTATAGGTAACAGGTACGTGCTATATATAGAAACATCTTTATTATAGTATGACGCAATATACGTACAAAATATACTGTATATATGTACAACAGTGCTGCGCGTGAGGCAGAATACTATTGACAGTATTAGTCATAAATTATAGGAAATAAATTTTAACTGATGTCGTCTTTTTGAGCAAATAGATTTTAGATTTTCGTGATCACGCAGGTCCTCAATGAATAAACAACGGAAAAGCAATGTAACTTTTTATCCAGTTCAAACTTTCAACGCTAGATTTACTTCGTAAGGACAGTAATATTCTACACAGGGACCTGAGAATTTGTAACAGCTATATTTGGACATGAACTATGGTGTTCAGAGTCATTTTACATGTTTTATTGGTTTAGATCGGTTTTTGGTAAAAATGACACCCCCGGTGATCATGTATTGGGGATGGCATTTTCACAAAAGGTCGATCTAAACCCATAAAACGAGTAAAAAAACACACCTTAGTTTAGGTCCGAATACAACTGTAACAAATTCTTAGGTCCCTGTGATATTCTACTGTTAAATTTAATCCTTTTTCATCTAACATAGAAATATTGAAATTATACAGGTGAACAGGTTTGTATAACAGAACCTGCTACGTTATTACATGTATGTTTCAAAACAAGCTTTGATGACTTGTTACTTTAGTTATGTTCCTTGATGTGGATTTTCACAGTGGTAATATTAACTATAAATCCGGCCAGTTTAGTTCCGGATTCAGGAGATTCATTCGACGTTATAAATGTTCAGAGTCTTCAAACTCGCGTCGAGAGAAAGGAAGAATCGACGTATTAGAACCGTTTAATGACTTTGTTACTTTTTTAAATTACAGAATTACTTGAAAATACTTTTCTATGTTTTCATGTTGCTTCACTGTGGATTATTAAACCAACAAACCATCGCAGTAATGACGGGCGCACGTACCACTAAGCCATAACTAAAATAACCAATATTCGTAAGCATAGTAAGGGGAAAGATAGATTAGAAACGAAACAAAGAAACTTACTTCGAGAGAATAAAAAGAAAGATACAAGAAAGATAAATTATTTTTTAGATTTTGATCTTTCTCAAAAGTTATAAATATCATTTAAATTGTGACAGACGGAGGAAAAGCCTCATTCGACAAGCCATGTTTCATGGTAGTAGTGACGTAACGTTATCTGACAGACCACGTCAAACAAAACATGCTGTCCGATAGTAAAGTCCCATAAATTACCGATAAGTATTACTTATCCTTCTTCCTTATTGCCAAAAATCTTAAATGTCCCGACAATAAATATGTCTGGATTTTTTCTTGTCAAGTGGTTTGAAGCGTCATATAGATATAACGAATAAAATACAACGGAGATGATTTTCAAGAAAACGATCTACAATATACACCGACTTTTTATATCAGACTACTTACATCAGTCCACAAAACACCACTTACGAGCAGGCTGTTTTATATCACACTGTCACGGAACGCTTAATATCAGACTGTTTTATATCACACTACAGGGCAACATTCGTTTTATATCATTCTGCCAACCAACGTTTGATTTAGGCTGTTAGATAAATTGTCAGGCGAAACATAATTGTTGTCTGCTATATATGTCAATGTCGGACAATGTTTCATATCAAACTGTTTAATATCACACTGCAAGGCAACGCCTAATGTAAGGCTGTTTTTTATCACAATAACGGACCACGCTAAATATCAGGCTGTTTTATATCACAATACCGGACAACACTAAATGTCAGGCTGTTATATATCACAATAGCGGACAACACTAAATGTCAGGCTGTTACATGTATATATCACAATAGCGGACAACACTAAATGTCAGGCTGTTATATATCACAATACCGGACAACACTAAATGTCAGGCTGTTTTATATCATAATACCGGACCACGCTTAATATCAGGCTGTTATATATCACAATACCGGACAACACTAAATGTCAGGCTGTTATATGTCACAATAACGGACCACGCTTAATATCAGGCTGTTATATATCACAATAACGAACCACGCTTAATATCAGGCTGTTATATATCACAATACCGGACAACACGAAATGTCAGGCTGTTATATATTACAATACCGGACAACCCTAAATGTCAGGCTGTTATATATTAAAATACCGGACAACACTAAATGTCAGGCTGTTTTATATCACAATACCGGAAAACACTAAATGTGAGTCTGTTATATAACACAATAACGGACCACGCTTAATATCAGGCCGTTATATATCACAATAACGAACCACGCTTAATATCAGGCTGTTTTATATCACAATAACGGACCACGCTTAATATCAGGCTGTTTTATATCACAATAACGGACCACGCTTAATGTAAGGCTGTTTTATATCACCATACCGGACACCGTTTTATAGCAAGCTGTTAAATATCACACAGCCTGGCAACGCCTAATATCAGCCGTTTTATATCGCACTGTACCGCAAAATACGTTACATACGGTTTCTGATGCAGTAGAGTTAGATATAAACTGACTCCTCAGCTAGTTCCTACTCGATCCTTTTAAACTGTGGAGTCTGAAAACCTCTGTTTTGCGGACTGTCATATTGGTTTGTTCAGGGTGTTGTGTCCTCGCAACAGGTACGATAATTATTTTTGACAATGTCTTTTGTCTTTGATGTTTTACATGTAACTGCAAGTAACATTTTACATTGTACATGTTCCAATCATCTGCTAATGACGGGGCGTTTCTCCTTTCAGGTAGATCAAAGCGATCATGCTGATTGGTGAAAAGATCAAAGGTACACGTGAAAAACGTAACATTCTCACGTGGCTCTCAAATTTTACAAATAATCCTGAAATCTGTGTGCCTTTATAGCAGTTAGGGAATCGCTCACGTTGTTCAGGGAATATGTAAGGGTCGGGCTCACGTTGTTCAGAAACGTCAGGTCTCTGGCTTTACTGACTGGATGGGCGTCTGCTCCCTCGTTAGACCATGACGATGTCAAATAAAAGGGACTTTAGCAACAAAGGAGTGCAGCATGCCTTCTGGGGTTCAAGACACATGCTAAGTTATTGACGGGAAACGTTTTCTTTTTAACAGACAGCGAGATCACTGTCGTTGTACCATTTATGATTCGATCACATTAGGATTACCGAGTGGGTTACACTGATCATGACTGATAGTCGGTGTTTGTTTGGCCTTGTTACACTGATCAGACTGGTAGTCGGTGTTTGTTTGGCCTTGTTACACTGATCAGACTGGTAGTCGGTGTTTGTTTGGCCTTAATGACCACAAGTAGAAATTTAAAGTATATGTACAATCGCGAAGTAGGGTGCCATATGCATGATTTGAATTCTTACAAAAACTAGTTTTCATGTCTTAGAGTCACCTCACTTCAGGAATTGAATTTATTTTTTTCAAAATTTATGAAGTCTTGTATTAGGTTCTTGGACATATTCTATGAATGACGTAATACACACTACGAGCAGCTTCACGCCGGACGGTAGGGTAGGCAAACCCGACATTGTGTCAATACACAATGGTGATGAGCCAGTGGTCGCCTGTGTTATACAAAATAAGTGTAATTTTCGTCAATGGGTCCAGGCAAACGGAATGTAAATAATTGTCGATGTATTTGTCTTTTTATTTTGATGGTTCGCATTCCTAGGCAGCAGTATTGGTAAAGTGTAGGAGGAATAACGTATACCGTAGGTCCCGAGTTCGAAAATTGTAAGTGTTTTTTTATCAAGTTCATTTTTTTTAAAATACACACATTTCAAACAACTGTTTATTTGTAAAATAAATCGCTAGACCATCCTCGATACTTTAGGGGTTACGGTCAATTTCGATCTTTGCAGAGAGCGTCAGTGGGTGTCCACCCTGGAGTATCGAGGCTTTTGCTAAATGTACATGTAGATGTGATTTATATAAAACACTTCTATAGAAAAGGAATTTGGCAAATATTCCATGATAAAGAGAAAAATATATTTTGACATTACGATTCCCGTTAACCTAATAAATCAGTGAAATATTTGATATATTTTTTTTTACCGACGTCCCTTTAAAATCGAGAAAAAGGAACAAAAACTTTACAGTTTGCTAAACCGGCGTCCCTTTAAAATCATGATAACAATGTTATTGCTATCAAACTTTATAAATTACGATGGAGTCGGCCTGTGGCACATACATGTACAGATAATGGGGTGTCCATGCATGCATATAGTGCATAATACACAACATGTACCTGTGAGCTGTTTACATAACGGTTACCTAAACAGATCCTCTGCTTAGAATCGCCATGCTGCGCAAACAAACCCGCTGTTCATCGATTTTATTGTGCAAAAAAATCGTCAAACCAGGAAGAAGAGAGTTCGGATTAAAGAAAATACAACCAAAATGCATGTCTGTGAGAGTTATTATTTGTTTTGTGTCAAAGAACATCACACTGATCATTTACTTCTGATGTTAAGATTATCGTGACATCTATCACGAATTTTTTCTTTCGTGAAAATATTTTTTCTTGCTTCTATTATTAATTCGAAGCAGAAGTGAATATTTCAAAATTTTGTTGAGAATGATACTGTTACTTCATATGTATATTGTATATTATATTGCTCAGAATAATTTAGCTGAAAAGATAAAAAAAAAATCCCTATCAACTTTATTTTTTTGATATAGTCCGATTGCCGCGTATGCTAGTCAACATTTAACCGAGCGTGGCACGCGTAGTGGTCGTTCAATTAAGATATTTCTACATGTGAAAGTATTTTCTAGATATTGGTACATGCTATATGTGATATCGAAAGACACATTGTGGCGTCCCCTACTAAACTGTTTTTACATTTTTCGAGTACCTCCGCCAGGAGTCAAACCCGGAACTACAAGTACATCATGTAACTAGTAAAGAGTTCCAAGATTGCGTAATAGAGGAATTGCCACTGGTCGAGTAATTTTACAGCGACTAGATGGTTCTTTACTGTGA